AGAGCGTCAGTGATGAGATCTTTTTGGGTCCATCTACTGAGACTATCCTCATCCCACACTCCTAAGAAGTCCCCAACTCTTAAGACCTGATCTCCACCCAAAGTTGGACTGCTGTGACTTAGAGCCCTGCCTTTATTGTGATTCAGTTACACCATTGTAATGGTATGTCTTGACAGCTCTTTCTCTTTTTAAAGCCTTGTTTATACCAGTTTAGCTTGCACCTATTAAGTAGGATCTGTTTAAAAGTAGCAAAACAACCTATGCATGGGAGCTGCTCTAGTTTAACAGAATGGAATTAATTTGGTGATAGTGCTGTGTTACAGCAAGACCTGGATCTTGTCTCAGAGGACAGGCCCTCAGATGCACCAAAGCTGTGATCACTATAGTTAATGTTGCCTGAGTGTTTTCAGATGCCTACTAATGGTTTGAGCTGAAATTTGTGCAGATTGGTCGCTACCAGAATACGTTCCTTTGTGGAGTAGCATGTTGTTGTATAAGTAGTTAAGCTACTTGGAGTATGAAGAGAATATTAAAAAAAAAAGAAAAAGAAACCAAGTTGGCCATTTTCACCATTAAATGAGAAAAACAAAGTTCTGATGACACAACCGTGTGATGTTGCCATTTTCTGCCCATGGCATTTTAACAGCCTTTAACAGCATGGTTACATGCTTACTGCAACTTTTAGGTACAAAATAATACATTTTCTGCCAGAAACTGGGATGCATCCATGCAGCATCAGCCTCATTTTCACTCCTGCACAGTCACCCTGAGTGTATGGTTCCTTCTGTTTTGCTTCCAATAAATCAGTATTGTAGCTAACAAACCTTTTATCAGCTAAGTTCTCTTCCCTAAGGGGCATATGGGAACAGTTTCATCAGCTCCCAAGACCACACTTTTACTACTGGCAGCCCAGCCTTCCTTTGGCTCTAGCAGGCACTGACACAGTTAACGACACAGCTAACTTAGCTGTAAACTTAAATGGCCTATATATGCCAGAACATATTCCTTCATAGTCTATTATACATGACTTGATCTGCAAGAGGTTATGAAAGGAGGATTTTATTGTGTGGTTTCCATATCAGGGAGTTTCATGGACCCATTTCTCCAGAACACATAGAAAAGCTCACTCCCCAAGGGAAAAACAAGCACATGAAACTATTTGATAGCTTGGTTATGGAATTAAAGAGGACAGGGCCAATCCTCAGCTGCTATACAAAAGTATTGTTCCCTTGGCGTAGCTCCATCGATGTCAGTGCACACACAGTGCATCGCACTGGAGATCTCTCCATGTCACAGTGCATGCAATAAGGCAGAGTTAAGGTTGCACAGAGGCTTGACTGTGATACTCATGCTTTCTTAACTTAGGCCTGTTACATACCCTATGCATTTGAAGACACTATAACAGAAACTGCTCCCAGTTCTAACTCCGAGAGACCTTCACCTTCAGCACTCAGAATTAACATGGACCCCCTTGCACGAGGGGATAAAATACCCCAACTCTGCTCCTGGGAACTGTACAACTTCTCGCTGTCTGCAGAGACTGGTTTGTGGAAGTCCTAGTGGGGAAGGGGGGCGGGGGGGCAGGGACCAGCCACGCGCTGATCTCAAAGCTGCAGGCTGGAGAGCCAGCATGTTGTGCTATATGGTGGAAGCGATTGTGCACTCCAAGAAACTATGCAGGAAAGAGGAGGGGGACTGCATCTGGTTGGGAAGTGACTGACCCTCTGAAGCATGTAAGTTTAGAGGGGCCAAGAATTTGTCTGGCATCACTACCTCCCTAAAGAAGCGTTTAGCCATCCTACCACCCAGCCTCTTGGCCTGCATTGCGCAGCCAAGATGAGCGCTAAGACAGGGCTA